TTTTTATCACCCCCCCCACCCCGTTTTGTTCTCCCCCCCCAGGAATTCGTTTGACGGAAGAAGGGGGGAGGGGGGAGGGGGGGAGGTAGTACGTACGCAGCAGCGAGAACCGCTTCTGCAAGTCGACAAGCTCGTCCTCCTTTGATGACATGGCAGACAAGTGGTGGAGGTGGTGGTGGCGGTGGTGCAGGTCGGCCATTGGTGATCGGGGCCGCGATCGTGATCGTGACTGATCGTGCCGTGGTCATCGACTGCGGCAGCACGTATCGGTGCGCAACTGGGGGGGGGGGGGGGTCTTGGCGACCTCGAGGATCACACTAGCGGCGTGCCGCGCGATGTGGAGGAGGTGGAGAAGCGGATACGGGCAAAGCCATTGCGGTGGAATGGGATGCACCCTGATTTGGAGACGATGTTGAAGTGGTGGACGATTGTGGTGGACGAGGTGGTGGCGGGCGGCGGCGAGGAGGCACTTGACTAGTTGTGGCGGGTGGAGGAGACCGTTTAGGGGGATGAGCGGACGCTCTCTGTGAGATGATGCAGGCACTGGCGTTTGACGGCTGACAGCTAGGCTTTCACTGGCAACGTGGCATGCGGGATAGTGGCCGGCTCGGATGACATCCGGCGGTGTTGGTCGTGCGATCCGCGGGGAAGGGCCATGGCGCTGGGAGCTACTGATGTGCTGGCGGTGGCGAGGATGAGGGAGTGGACACGATGTTGTGGATGGCGGCGGAGGATGATGGGAGGGCGGATGGGGAAAGCGACGAAGATGCGATTGGGATAGGAGGGGTGGCAAGTGGCAAGGCCAGTGTGGTTGGCGATAGTGATGCGGGTGGGATGTGTGCGGGGGTGGGCGGAGATGGAGAGGGGGTAGTGGGCGCGGAGAGTGTAGCCGGTGGGTGAGGGGTGCCACTCGAGCACTTCCTTGTATGCTGAAGAAAGCAGGACAGGCAGTTGACCATCCGCATTTGACAGCGCAATAACGTCGAGCACCCAGTTGGTGTGGCCTTTCAGCACCTCGCAGAAGGCGTTGTCCGTGGTGTACCGCATGGCGCCTGTCCCGTCGTCCGCGGGATGCCACACCCGGATTGTCTTGTCTCTCGACCGCGAGACGAGGACAGGAAGCTGGCGATCTGCACTCGGCAGTGCAATTACGCGAGAGACCCAGCTAGTGTGGCCGTCCAGCACCTCGCAGGAGGCGTTTTCCGCGGTGTACCGCATGGCGCCTGTCCCGTCGTCCGCAGGATGCCAAACCCGGATCGCGTTCTCCTTGTTTTGATACCCACCCACCCGAGAGACCAAGACCGGCAGCTGGCCGCTAGCACTTGGTAGGGCCACCACGCCTGTCACTGAGCTGATATGGCCCTTCAGTACCTCGCAGGAGGCAGTGTCTGCGGTGTACCTCATCGAGCCCGTGCCTTCTTCCGCAGGATGCCACACTCGGATCGTCTCGTCGCTAGACCACGAGACCAGGACAGGCAGTTCGCCATTTGTACTGGGCAGCGCGATCACGCCGGATATCATGCTGGTGTGGCCTTCCAGCACCTCACAAAAGACAGTGTCCGCGGTGTACGGCACAGTGCCCGTTCTGGCGTCTGCAGGATGCCAGGCTCGGATTGTCTCGTGGCAAGACCACGAAACCAGGACAGGCAGTTCGCCATCTGTACTGGGCAGCGCGATCACGCCGGATATCATGCTGGTGTGGCCTTTCAGGCACTCTACGCGCGCCCTGGGTAGCATGTCTGAAACCTCCACATTCTTTCGACAAATACCGGCAACCAGCGAGTCACCGATGACAGAGTTGTCGTCATACTCGCCATGACAGTACAAGCGTCGAGCATCACGATGCGTGACAGGGTCAATAGCTGCCGCTGGGAGAAAAGCCCCGTGTGATGCATCCGCGCGTACAGCAGCCACCAGCTGCGTGATTGTATCGGATGGCTGGGGATAGTCGAGTCGGGCAACGAGCTCGGTCTCGATGTACGACTTACCTCTCTGGATGATCTCACGTGAGAGAGATAGGGCCCGCTCGACCTCGCCAACGTGCTGGGCTCCTTTGCAGCCGAGGCGAACAACACAACGCAGGTCGTTGAGGAGGCCACCAAGCGACTCGTCTGCGCGGGCTTTCATCCATGCCCAGGAGAGAGCAACGGCAACGGCGGCATGGTTCGCTCCGGCTGCAATCATGTGTGAAATACCGCGGGTAACGATCCAATTGGAGGCAGTACCAGAGGTTATTGCCACCTTTGCGGACTCTGGCGTGGCGCCAGGCGGAGGCACCCCGGCGACAACGGCGAGGTGACGGGCAGGAAGGGAAGGGATGTCGTCAAAACACACCTCAAGCCGATGGCGAATGTACTTGAGGTGCAGATCGTGCATCTCGATCACGGTGATGGCGCCGCCATCTTTGGCAACGACGCGCAGGAGAGAGGCATCGGCAAGGGCGTCGAGGGCCGCAGCAAAGCCAATATCGTCCGCTGGGACCGTGGCGCGGAAGTTGGCGACGTCGACGGGCGTGTCTGATGGAAAGACGCCGAGCATGGCGTAAATGGCGAGTGCCACCTTGCGGACACACTTGGGGATGGCATCGCCGAGAGTCCAAGTGATGATGTCAAAGATGTGGGCGTGCTTGGCGTCGGTGCCGCCTTCTGACTTGCGGTGCTTGCGAAAAGCACGTTTGGAGGCCGAATCAAAGTTGGCAACAGCGGCGTCAAGTGCAGCCTCGCCAGATATGGACGAGCCAAGGATAGCGAGGGCGAGGGCATGGCCACGGCAGAAGGTCGCGAGGGAGACGATGCGGTGATCGTTGAGAGCAAGGGTGTTTGCCCACTCGGGTGAGCCCTTGGCGAGGTAGTTGCGAAGGACAACAGCTGCGTCGGCCCGGCCAAAGGTACCGAGCTGAACAGAGGAGGTGGAGATGGCCGCCATGGCGGCGTTGCGCGAGGTGACGAGGACCGCATGTCGAGCTGCAATGGGCTTGGTGAAGGCGGTGGCCTGGCGGGTGGTCCACGCATCGTCGAGGATGAGCAAGATGCGAGTGCCGGCGTCGGCGAGGGTCTGGGTCTTGTCAGCAAGGATACTTTGCAGGTAATTGAGGTCAGCTTGTGGATCGACTGCGCAACCGAGGCCTTGCTTCAGGAAGTAGGACATGCGGCTGGCAATGGCGATGGGAGATGTCTTGTCCTCACCGAGAGCGAGCCAGAAGACGGAGAAGACCGAGGTGATGGCGGGGTGGACGGCAACATCGGCAGCGAGCGACGACTTGCCAACGCCACCAAGCCCGCTGACACCGACGACTGAGACGTTGTTCGCACCGAGAAGCGCGTCAATGACCGCAGCGCGAGTGTCAGGGAGCGGGTAATATTCGGGCAGTTTGGATGGTGGCGGCATACGGGACGGTAACTGCATCGTGCCGGCAAGGATGGCGAGGGAGTGCTGAGCAATGTCAACGACGGCGGTACCCGAGGAGATGCGACGGTCGTCGTAAGTGGCGAGACCCCAGTCCATGAGGCGGTAGGCCGTGCGAATGTGATGGTCATTCCAATTGTGCGCGAGAAGACGCTGGTGCCAGGTGTCGTACTGGCGCTTCTTGTCGCCGGAAGTGAAGAAGGTGTCCAACAAAGCCACGAGCGAAAGCATGTGGGTGTGGGTGTCAACGTTGTGGGCAGTGAGGAAAACGACTTCGGCCTGGGCACCGCCGTTGTCCACGTACTGGGCGCAGGCCTTGGCTGCAGCGAAATTAGCATCGTCGGCGGGCCGGGCTGCAACACTGTGCAGCCGGCCAAGCTCAGCAAGCGAGATGTCGCTATCAATAAAGACTGGGAAGACGGGATTGCCGCCGTTGGCAGCGCCAACAAGCGCTGCATCGACTTCGGCGATGACGTAGCGCGTGACGACAAAGTTGGTGTCGAGGATGAGAACAAGCCGTGAGCGAACGTCGATGGCGGCACAGTCGTCCGGATGAGGGTGGCGGATACCGTCAAGCGACTCGTCGTCGACGAAAACACGGAGAGTTGGATAGCGGGCGAGGATGTTCTTGCGGACATTCCTGGCTAAACTCTTATCGAGCGATCCGTGACAGATGAAGATGTCGCAGTCGTAATTGTCATTGGTGTAGGTGCGGGCATCGGCTGGTGACGAGGACAGCACTTTCATCTCCGTGTCTTGCAGGACGACAGAGGAAGAAGTGGCCGAGCTGGCCCTGCTGGCGTTGGCGGTGAGGAGCGGGCGGGGGCGCTTGGCGGCTCGCCCCGGCTCGGGCGGCTGCCTTGCGCGGCGCTTGGCAGTACCCTGCTGCACTAGGATGGGTGCGAGGTGTGGAGGGTCGTCTGTCCCCCATAGTGCAGGGTCCATGGGTGGTGTGAGAGGAGTATGCGGTGCGTGCTATGAGTGTGGCGGCGAGGGCGACAGGCGGTGTTTGCAGGAATTTTTGGGTAACGGGCGAGTGCCGGGGGAAGAGCCGGGGAAGAATGTAAGGATATAATTCATTGATGAGGACTCGTCTGTTGGATAGGTAGCACTAGTGAAGGAGGGGAGGGGTGGGTGGATGCATGCAAGGGGGTGTGTAGTTGAGCAACAAGAAATAGATGGTCGTGGTTGGCGGTGATGGGGTGTAATGAGTATGGTAGGAGGGGATGAGGGTGGTCGTGGCGTGGGTGGCGTAGCAAGCGGATGGGGCGGTGGGTATGGCGATTGAGCTTGCAGGTGGACGTGGATGGGCGCGATGAGGCTGGTGGGTATGAGTGGGGTGTGGGAGAGGGGGGAGGCGGGTACTTGGGCGGCGGGGGAGAGGAGGGCGGACGGATTGGATTGAGATGGACGTTGATGGAGACGAGGGCTTGGGATTGGACGAGAAGGCAGACCACTGCGCTCTAGCCCATCATTGTACTGCCTATCAATTGCCCTTGCCCTCTCTTGTTCATCCTCGGCTTGGCCAGCCCACAGGCCTCGTCGTCTGCTTCGGTGATCGGCAGCAGGGGCGGCTGGCGATGAGCAGGCCGGCGGGGAGGGTGATGGGCAAGGCCGGTGAAGGGAGGGGAGAAGTGGGTTGGAGGGCAAACTGGTAGTGTTTGCCAATAACGTGGCTATCCGTATGCATGGTCTCCGATGCTCTGTCGATAGCTAGCTTGCTCTCGGTGGTGCCGGTGGTGGTCGGTCGGCGGCGGGCGGCGGTCGGCGGTGAGCAGCAGGCGGTCGGCAGCGATGCTGTTGACGGGTTGGCGTCGGCTGATGTGAGGATCGGCGCAGGTGAAGTGGATGGTTATGATTGCAGGGGTAGTGAGTATGTGTGGTGTGGGTGTGGTGGTTGTGCGTGAAGATGGTGGGGGGTGGGGGTTGGAGATGGGCCCGGGGAGGGGGGTGAGCAGCATCGAAACGACACCAGGCCAACAAGTTGGGCCTCGGGTGGCAGAACTCGGATTCCGGAATACTGCAGCTGTGGATTGGAGATTGTGCAAGGGGAGAGAGTGGGTATGGAGTCGGGTAGTAGTGAAATCAGATTGCCCATATCTTGCAATGAGGTTGGTGGGGGGCGTGTGCGGAGTCGGGCGGTCGAGGGCGTGCTCAACCACCTAGGCAGAACAAGTCGACGCGGAAATGAGCCGAGGAAGATGGGTATCGATGACAGCGATATTGATACTGGTGATAGTGTGGGCGAGTGACGACCTTGGGTGTGGTCGCGGGTTGCGTAGCTGGTAGTGGAAAGAAGCTAGGTGGTGGTGAAGGTGGGCTGATCGGGCGAGCGGGCGGCGGCTGGCGGCTGGTGGTCGGTGAGGCGGGGGCAGCTGAGGGGGCTGGGTCGGGACTGGGTGGCTCGAGATTGCTGTTGGTTGGACGATGGGTAGCATGACTGGTGATGGTTGAGGGATGGCGGTGTCACAGTCGGGGATGCGGATGGGGGTGAGGTAGAGCGGGGAGAGGAGGACGATGAGGAGGAAGAGGAAGCCGAGTGCGCGATGGGATGGTGGTCGGGCCAAGGCAAGGTGGTGGTGGTTGTGGCTAGGATGATAGTGATGGTGGTGGAGTAGGGGGTGCGGGTGGTGGTTTGTGGTGACGGGTGGTAATGAGTATGATAGGGGGGGATGAGGAGGGTCGTGACGTGGGGTCGTGACGGGCGAAATGGTAGTAGGTATGGCGATTGGGCTTGAGCATTGATGAAGGTGAGTATGATACGGCTGATGGGTGTGTGTGGGGTGTGGTTGATGAGAGTGCAGGGGCTTGGGCGGCAGAGAGAAGGCGGCGGATTGGATTGAGATGGACGTCGATGGAGACGAGAGCTTGGGATTGGAACAAACGACGCAATGACAGCCGAAACAACAACCAAAGATCATACATGGCTTACACAGCACACGTATGAGTAAGCCCACAGGGACTGCACAAAGTGGCCTCGTCGTCTGGCTCGGTG